CTCTGGCTTCTCTCCTTCAGCCAGTTCGCAGTCCACCTCACTACCTGATCATCCAGTCCACACTTCCTCAATTTAGCCGTGAGGATGCTGTGGGAGACCGTGTCAAATGCTTTGCTGAAGTCAAGGTAGACCACATCCACCGCTCTGCCATCATCCATCCACCGTGTTATTTCCTCATAAAAGGCTAAGAGATTGGTCAAACATGATTTCCCCCTGGTGAAGCCATGTTGACTGCCCCTCATAACCCTCTTATCCTTGATATGCCTTAAGATGGCACCAAGGACAAGGTGTTCCATCACTTTCCCAGGGATGGAGGTGAGGCTGACCGGTCTATAGTTACCCGGGTCCTCCTTCTTGCCCTTTTTGAAGACCGGAGTGACATTTGCCTTCCTCCAGTCCTCAGGCACCTCTCCCGTTTCCCAGGACTTGGTAAAGATGATGGCGAGTGGTCTAGCAATGACTTCCGCCAGTTCCCTCAGCACCCGCGGGTGCATCCCATCTGGACCCATGGATTTATGGATGTCCAGATTGCTCAACTGATCTCTAACCCATTCCTCATCGACTAAGGCAAACCGTTCCGTCGACCTGACTTCATCTAAGGTCTCCGGGGTATAGGGCTCTTCAGGACTGCCTGCAGCAGAGTAGACAGAGACAAAGAAGGCATTCAGTAACTCTGCCATCTCTGCATCTTCTGTCACCAGGGCACCCATCCCGTTCATCAGTGGGCCTACATTGCCTCTGGTGTTAGTTTTGTCTGCCATGTACTTGAAAAAGCTCTTTTTGCTGTCCTTGACCCTTCTTGCCAGGTTTAATTCTAAGGATGCCTTAGTCCTCCTAGCTGCCTTCCTACATCCCCTAGCAGCAGCATTATATTCTTCCCAAGTGGCCAGCCCCTCCTTCCATGACCTGTAAACTCTCCTCTTCCACTTGAGCATACCCAGCAATTCCCTATTTAGCCACGCAGGTCTCCTGGCCCTCTTCCTTGACTTCCTACGTGTCGGGATGCTTCGATCTTGAGCACGGAAAAAGCAGTCCTTGAATGTCAACCAACTATCTTGGGCCCCTTTTCCTTCAAGCAGCCTTGCCCATGGGATTTCCCCTAGCAATTGCTTGAAAAGGCCAAAGTTTGCCCTGCTAAAGTCCAGGGTTGCAATTCTACTTGGTATTCTACTAGTCCTACCACACAAGATCCTGAACTTCACCATCTCGTGGTCGCTGCAACCAAGGCAGCCCTCAACCCTTACTGCTTCGACCAGACCCTCCTTGTTAGTGAGGATGAGATCCAGCAGCGCTCCTCTCCTGGTCGGCTCATCCACCATTTGCAGGAGGAAGTTATCATCCACACACTGGAGGAACCTCCTGGACTGTGGCTGGGTTGCCGAGTGGTCCTTCCAGCAAACATCAGGGAAGTTAAAATCCCCCATGACGACCACGGCCTGTGACTGTGAGGCCGCTCTCAGCTGCCTGTAGAAGGCCTCGTCAACTTCCTCACCCTGATCCGGTGGTCTGTAACAGACACCTACAACAGTGTCGCCCCTGCCAGCCTGCCCCTTAATTCTCACCCACAGACTCTCAACTCGCTCATCATCTGTCCCCAGACAGAACTCGGTGCATTGTAGTTGGTCCCGCACATAAAGAGCAACCCCACCACCCCTCCTGGCTGGCCTGTCTTTCCTGAAAAGGACATAGCCCTCCATGACTATATTCCAGTCATGTGAGCTGTCCCACCACGTCTCTGTAATTGCCACCAGATCATAGTCTCCTGACTTAACACAGGTTTCCAACTCCTCCTGCTTATTTCCCATGCTGTGCGCATTGGTGTACAGACATTTCAGGGAGCGAGCTGAGCACACCGATTTCACCCTAGGATTATAGGAGGCCTCCCAGTCTTCATCAATTCTGGAGCGCTGCCCCACTGGGGCAAGCCCAGCTACAACCCCATCCCCCTTCGAATCTAGTTTAAAGCTCTCCAAATGAGCCCTGCTAATTCGTGCCCCAGTATCCTTTTGCCTCTGTGAGACAAACCTTTCTCACTTGACATTGTCCAGACTGGTGCCCTATAAAACCAGCCATTATCAAAGAATCCAAAGCCCTGCCTGTAGCACCAGTCTCGTAGCCAATTGTTCATGAACTGAATCTTCCCATTCCTTCCCACATCATCAGTGGAAGATGGAAGTAGTGAGGAGAAGATCACTTGAGCCCCAGACTCTTTCACCATCCGCCCCAAGGCCCTGTAGTCTTTCTTCATCCCCCTCAGACTGCGGGAAGCAGCTTCCTCCCCACCTGTCTGGAAGACCAGCAGCGGGTAGTAGTCTGTCGGGTGCACCAGGTTGGGGAGCGCCCTAGTGATATCCCTGATCCGGGCTCCAGGCAGACTACATACTTCCCTATGATGAGGGTCAACTCTGCATATCGGGCCCTCTGTTCCTCTCAGAAAGGAATCCCCTACTACAATGACCCTTCTTTCTTTCTTAACAGAGGCAGTCTTGAGGTGCAAAGTCGACCCCCTTTTCCTATGTGGCCTTGTGGGCTGGCCTTGCCCCACATTCTCACTTACCTCTCCTTCAAGATCCAGGGCCTCGAACCTATTACAGACGGACACCTGGGGAAGCAGGGCAGGAAGGGGGGAGGGTTTCCCCCGACGTCGAACTGGAACTCGCTTCCAACCCTCGTCGTCTTTCTGGTCCCCTACCTCTGCGCTACAGCTACAGGGCAGGGGCTGTCTCGGGCCATCCCCCTCTGCCTGAGAAGGCAGGGGGTCCTTCCCCTTTTGGGGGGTATCTCCCTGGAACCGTTCCGACCGGCACGCCAGGGAGTTACTCCACCAGTCGATCTCCCTTTCACACTCCCTGATAGTCCTCAGCGTCTCAACCTCCTCCTTAAGTCTTGCCACCAGGCTAAGCAGATCTTCTACCTGCTCACACCTCACGCAGGTGGAATGCTGTCCTCCCTCCCCCGGCAGCAGCAGGCTCTGGCACTCCCTGCACCCAGAGACCTGAACAGCCACGGTTTGGGACGGGGTCTCCGTCTGAGTTGCTGCAGTTTTCTTACTGCAAGCTCTCTTTCTGGAGACAACCATATTGGTCCGCAGTCTGGGACACCAGCAACATGACCTGCTTGTTCCTCCCTGCACCCGGCCGGTCGCTGCCCTCTCTGAGGCCTTTTCAAGGCAAGCAGCAGGGAGTGATCACCGTCACCGCGGGAACGCCCCCCGCCACGTGAGCCTCCTCAGCACCTAGCTTTTCCCAGTTAGGTACAGGAACAGCTGAAGCAGTTTTCTTACACTTAGACCATGTCCAAAGTCTGTCTTATCAGGAAATTGCTATTGGAAGATTTTATTTTTTTTTTTTAGTCCAGGGCATCTTTCTGATGACAGGATTTGGGTTTTTTTTGGTTGTCATTCCTTCTGTATACTTCACTAAACAGTTATGCAGTAATCCATGTTTTTTGACAATTTCGCTTACAAATCAAAATTGATAAAAGTTGTCATTCGAGCAGAAGTAATTGATTCATTTAATATCATGAGTTGAAACTGAAATTTAATTCTGTGTGATTATAAGCAATTTTAGGAACAAAGTGCAATGCTGCTGTGTGTGTCAAAGATCAGTGATTTGACATGATTGTTGTTATGTTTGGCCATAATATTAACTCATAATAGCTAAGAGCCTTTTTGATCTGTATTGAATAACATTTGAAAATGTTTTCATTTTCACTTTATGCAAAGTAAAGCTTGCTTTTTATTCTCATGGTTACGATTAAACTTTGTGCCTAGCAGTATATAATCTAAATGGAAATAAAATGATAAATTCTTTAAAAATTTATTTTGTGACCACTTTAAATTTTTAACAGATTCAGATAAGAGTGATGTACAAGATGGTCCTTCAGATGCTGACTTTTGGAAAGGTCCTCTGAAAGACACAGATGAAAAATCACGGTGAGTTTGATCTAGTAAACTTGTAGCTAGTAGAACATACAGTGTCCATTCAGAAATGCAGAACCAGAGATCTTTTCTGTGTGAATGAATATACTGACATTTTAAATTATGTCAAATCTCTCTTGTAGTGAACCTAAGATTGTGTTTTTAAAGGGGAGACATCTCTGGGTGAGAACCTTTCTCAAGCCACTACCATACGACTGCTGTCTTACCCCTTACTATACTGTTAATTATCTTGGAAGTTAATCCCAACAGTTAACTCACTGCTGTTCCACAGATAGGGAAATGTAAAGGGTATTGGAATGTAGTGGATAAGTCAAACTGATCTATACCAGCAACAAATGCTAATCGGAAGTCTGCTAAATCTTTTTCTAACGAATATTATCTTGTAGGTATAGATTCAAAGGAGAACTTTTTCATGTTGTTTCTTTCTTTTTTCTTTTTTTTTTTTTTAACAGGGAAGAGGAGTTTGATGAGTATTTTCAAGACTTGTTTCTCTGAAGCTAGAGATGGATGTGGGCTCATCTTCTTCAGGAGTTGTCAAGACGGAAGTCTGGAAATCCAGTCATAATTAAGAACCAGACACCTTTTTCTGCCAACATACTTTTTTTACAGTCACTTGTATGGACCATTTGGATAGATTGTCTTTGTTGAAAGAAGGCTTCAGGTCTAAAAACTTTGTTTTCCTTATGGTAGGCTGTATACTCATGAAATAAGAGAAATAATTTTTTCAGCTTAATGCAAAAGATATATGAAACCCAAACTTAGAAAGGATGTAAACAAATGAGAATATAGTTTATTGATGTTGCATCACAGAAGTTGGTTGCTTTTTATTTTGTCCCAAACTTCAGTTATTGCCAGATTTTTGTAAAGGTGCATTTTGGAAGATCCTGTTACTAGTTTAAAGTCATGCACTTTAATATATTCATATTTCTAATTTATTAAACAAGAGTTAATAGCCTTTAATTTTTTGGTCATGTAGATGTAATTAGTCAGCTATTAGTCTTTGTAAGTATTTTCAAATGTGGTTGGAGGCCAGTTTTTATCAAATATGTATTTTTCTTGAATGTCTCCCCTACTCCTTAAAAAAAATTAGTTCATTGTGACCTTGTTTTAAATTTTAGTTGTATAAAGATCTGGTTGATTGGTGAAATTTTTTATGTAAAAAATAGAGTGTGTGGCTTTCCATTGGGGATGTACATGTGACTTTTATGTTATCTGTGGTTTCCAATCTCCTTAACATTGATTGAACATTAATCTTTCCTTAAAGTGTAATCCTAAATATACAAGTAAAAAATGTATATTGCTTGAGAAACTTATTGGATTCATCTTCCTCTTCAAGTTGCAACACAACTTTAAACATTCTTTAGTTTATGTTTCCAAAGAAATGCACATGAATACTTACAGTGCCTATTTTCTTTGTTGGATGAAAATTACTTTGGATCTAAAGGACAAACTTTCTTAAATGTTCATGTTAAACTGAGGAAAGTCAATGTTGTATAAAATATATTTTTGGTAAGTACTTGTCACTGTAGATATATTTATAGAAAGTATTTATAATAAGTGTTTGATGAGGAAAATATAACAGCAGAGATGGTTGCAGTGTATTTATGAACATTTTACATGCACTCGTGAATAAGTTGAGAAGTCTATTTACAAGTATTACTTAACATAATTACATTTTAAATAGTTTGTACTTACATAATAGTTAACAGTACGAGGACATATTTAGGGCGTCTTTGAGTAAGAAATAAACATAGCCTTGCAAGAAGACTTCTTTAGGTAAGAAGGTGGATTTAAAGGTTAATTCTCTGTCATGTTGCAAGCTTGATTGAGAGTCAAATCCAATCTGCAGTAATCTGCTTACAAGTGTGCAACTTGCCCAAAAGGGCTTTTGTCAAATGTGTTACTATATTTGTGGCCTCAAGTACTGCATACTAATTATGTGTTCTGGATAACTAACTCCTCTTTGGATCTTTAAAATAGTTATAAAAAGGTACGCTATACATATTAAATACATAATTTAATACAGTTTGAATAAAATTACATGATCAAACAACCTTGAAATAGCTTTCTTCAGCGTTTGCATTTAATACAGAAAATAATACGTGATACCCAGTTTTATGTCATAACCAAGTTTGCATAGAATATTTGGCCCAATTAGAAATAAGGATGTAATAAGCGTGTGTGTGGAGTGGATTCCTTTACTTTTGGGTGATAGCTGCACACAGTATCTATGTTCATAGAGCATTCTTAGCAAGGTGTATAATATGGCAAGTCATTCAGTCATTCTCCCTTCTCTGTGGATGCAGAGGGCCCTCAAAGAAAAATGTAAGGTATGAGTCTGCTTTTTTTTTTTTTTCCTTATGGGGGAAGAAAAGTGGCAGGTTTGAGCCTGTACATCAGAATTGTTTGTTGCAGGAACTACATTTGGCATCAGTCTCCTCTTAGATTTGAAACTGGTTCCGGTGAATGCTTGGATCCATGCGTAATGTACTAGCCATTTTCCTTTGTCTGCAGGAGGAGCTGGCTTTGTGACACCTGAGTAGAAGGTATGGAGCTGACTCCTGTCATTCTTCAAGAACAGGAGGTTTTGTTAGAGAGATGGTTGTTTATGAAAAACTAATTTGTGTGCAGTCTGTCATCTTAGTTGTAAGAAGGGAGGTAATAGGAATTCTGATGTGCTCCACTTCTGCTGTCCTCTCCCTCCCAAGATTAAGTTGGTGCCAGTTCATTGGTTTTTGAATAATTTCCTGCATTTTTAAAAAGGTGCATTGGGACTACATGAGTCTTTTAAAATGTTTTTGACAGTAGATCCTGCTGTAGATATACTGCTGTAGGTATGTTAGAAAACTCTGACTTGTATGCAAAGCATGACGTTTACAGTCTGCCTTTTGAGATTTTTTACAATAAAAGGTGTTCAGTTTAGGAATTGTGAGCAGAGCCACTTACGTATGGGCAAAAGAGTATGGGCTTTCTGTGAGTAATGGCTACAATTTACAGTTTTATTATTGGTGGTTTTGAAAAAATACTGTTTACCATGGGTCTGCTTTTTGTAGATATGAGCCAGGGAACTGTGTTGAGCATTCCTAAAGTGAAGGTTGAGAATGAAGGAAAAGAACACCATTCCAGATTAAGGAAATACACGTAATATAAAAATCTAAATATACAAGTTAGCGAAAAGTGCCATTTTTTGTTTGAATTGTACATGTTAAGACTTCAATCAATAATTTCATATAAGATCTGTCAAAATTATTCATGTTTTTTCTGGACAGTGTGCAGAAATTACATATTTTAATAAAAATACTGTATATAAATCGAGTAACATGGAAAAATACCTAGAGCACACAGTTAACTCATTTTGCAACATTATTTTTTCTTTTCCAGTTTTTAATTGTAACTGTTTACTACGATTTAAAATTATTTCCAACAAATGGTGAGTATTTAAGAGGTTTGTTAAGAAATTGACCTATACTATTCAAAGCAAAAATCCACTGGGGCTCACTGAAGTCCTTTGTAGATGCCTTTTCTGTAGCCGGAACAGTGTCTGAGACAAACAATTACAAAATTATACATGTTTTGGATTTTCCATCCTCTCCACTTCCGCCACCACCTCCAGCGTCATTTTCAGCTAAAAAACAGAGAAGGAAAGTAAAGTGAGTATTTTCTGTTATTTTTAGCTGCTCTAATTTCTTTGAAAAGATGTTGCTTTTGTAATATCCGTATTATGTGTGTTTGACCTTCTGAAAATTGAATGTGATTTCACTACTTGTCTGGGAAAATAGAAGATGAAACAATAACACATACTATATATACATATATGCATATAGTGTAGCAGTTGATACCAACATTTCTTAAAGGACCAAACACGCACTGAACCACTCTTACTGGAAAGTTTCAGTAGTTAAATATAGATAAGTGTCCCACACATACAAAACTGAGGTATGCAAGCCATGCAAAAGAAATAAACTCATGATCAATATAAACTGCAAATCTACTTTTGAAGCAGATGACACAAAAACTTTAATTTGACCTAATTGTATAAACCTTTATCCAACCCTGCATGAATCCCTTTGTAATTACCAATTGAGAGAGACACTTCTTATGTTTGTCATCTATAGATACTGATTCTTTTACTGTCTCTCTCAAATGATTCCACAGATGTTCTTTGGTCATATTTAAGATTCTTTCAATGTAACAACTTTAGTTTCCAGGTTCATTTAAGTTAAGATACCAATATTAGAATTAAAACTTACATTTGAAAGCTGTGGATCACCATGTTACTAGGTCATTTTCGACCCTTTCCACCTGCATTGAAACATGTCACATAATCAGTGTCCTACCCTCTGTAATTTGTGGATATAATCAACACTATGTTACTAACTACATATTTTATTTTCTTAGTTTAATACTGTATTCTGTTTTAGTTTCTGTTCTGAACTTTCCACTGTAGTGGTTCAGCAAATATGTTTATTTTGTTTTCTGTCTACGGAATGGCTAAGAATAGCCAGGTCAATGTGATCTAGAGAAACCACTGTGGTTCAGCCTGTATCAAATTATTGTTTGTATGAACTGACTTAACAAACACATATATTTACATGGCCTTAATTTGACAGTGTCAGATCTGTTCTTCACAAATGTGCATTGCCTCACTCACTCCAGTGCATGTTTAAAAAGATTCAAAATAATTCACTTACATTGTATGATACCAGTTATAATATGCAAAGGCCAGATCCTTAGCTCCTGCAAGTCAGTCTGTCAGTGCTTGGCTGTGTAAGGTTCCTTGTGGGAAAATACTTCTTAAGTCAGTGACTAAGTGATTCCAAAATACCAGTGTTGTAAGATGGTCCTAACTTCAAGTGAGAGTAGAAATATCTGACTCTCCTAAATGTAGAATTTAATTTTCATTTAAGAAGCTTATAGGATCTGACTTCAGTAACTATACTTTTTGCCAAGAAGCAAATGTATAGAGAAGTTTATGTGTAGGTCCCAGGTGTTTTATGTTTTGTTTAGCTGGTATTTCTGTGAAATTCAGATGCTTAGATTCCAGTGTGAGGAAGGAGTACTTTGTTCATATTCACAACCAGCTAGTTCTCAGCAATAAACTAATCTTAAATAAATAAAATTATATGGTTAATTGCAAAAAAAAAAAGTCTTTAAAAATAAGTTTGGGAGACAATGGGGTGGGCATAACTTCTGTGAAAGTGTGTGTTAAGTCATATCACAGTGTGATACTACTTTTAAATTTATTACAATAACAGTATTTGACTCTTTTTATTAAACTTCTCTTTTGAAAATCTACTTTGATTAAATTATATAACTAAAAATGACTGTAACCACTTTGCAACAACTTATTTTTATTTTAGCCTAGTGTAATTTATTTTAGGAGCCAATAACTCTAGTTCCACTTTACATTGACATTAAATTGATAGGTGGCCTTGAGTAGCCTTGCTTTTGTATGAAATGTGAAAAATACTCACCTATTGCACACAGACACTGATTAACAAATTATTCAGTACTCATATATGTTTTAAAGATATGAAACACACACTTAGAGTAAACTAATTTTTCTTCTTCAAACTAGCTGACAATAAATCATTCTGTAGTAAACCCATGAGGTTTTGTTTTAATCTCTGAACCTTTTCAGTCATCTTAGCTGATTGGCAGAGCTGTTGACTTGCTCTTCCACGTGAAATACTGAAGAATAAAAATAACTGACTGACTTCACTTTTACACTTGAGCGATAGGTTCTTGGTTCCTATAAAATCATTTTCTTTTCTAGGTTATCTTACCCCGAGCCGTATTTTAAATTTTAAGACTTGAGCTATCTTAGGAAGATCAGTGTTAAATTTGTAATATGAGAGAGTGTATTTCAGCCAAGAAACTGCGTGTAGGGAACTAGAGCCAAAAGCTTTATCTAAATTTGGAAGAGAGCTCGGGGTTTGCATTGATTTTTAATGCTACAAATGAACACTGTCCATTCCCAACTCTTTTCCTTACACTTTTCATTTTCAACTTAAAAGCAGTTGAACATATTTGGGGCTGATGCCACACAGAATTTCTAAATCTCTAATATTTCAGGTGATTGCAGCATTCATAAATAAGTTTTTAATTACATTCAGTTATAAGTCTTAAAAGAAATTTTACATTCCCTTCACTGTTGTGATGGTCCTATTTCCTGTAATTCTGCAGTTTGTAAAATGAGGTCAGTGTACTGGATTTGTGTAATCTTTAAAGGTTACTCCTCTTCCAAGTAAAGGTAAAGCTAATTGTCTAATTCTGAACTTGCATATTATTAGTATGAAGTTTAACAGAATATTGGACATGTGTGAATTTGAAAGAGAATATGTTGAATGCCTTACAAATATACATAAATGAAAACATTAGAAGCTACTTAACCTTTTTTTGCAGCTGCTTCTTCTTCCTTTTTCTTTTGTTCCTCAATGACCTTTATCTTCTCTTCATATTCATCAGCTCGTGTTTTCCATTCAACCCTGTTGTTTTGAAGACCATCAAACATAGGTGTAATTTCCTTGTGAAACCTCGAGAATTCCTGTACAAGCAATTTAAATTAGTAAATTAGAAACCTGTAACACTGACAGTTTGTAAAGTCTGGATTTTTAAAACACTGCTGCTTTGCAGAAAGAACATTTAGTTTTCTTTCTTAAATCTAATTCAGTATATATGCTAGATTAACTGATTTCATTTGATTTAACTTTTTTCCAAGAACTTGTTCTATCTCTGGTAGTGGTGTTTTTGTAGAAGAGAAAAAATTACGAAAGAAATAGTGTGAGTACCAGCTGGTGCAGATTTGAAAGTATGTTCTTGCCCATGCATGGTGGCCTATTATTGGAAATACCATGTTGGGAGAATAATGCCCTGTTCCATAATGCTTCTGTTCCATAGAAGGATCTGATTTACACACTACACATTTTAGTATCTTCCCTAATCCCACATTTGATAGTCTGAAACATACGATACAACTATAACTATGATGCATGATATTTTATCATATGATTATCAGGATATAAAAAAATGTCTAGTATCCTATAGTAGATTCCAAGCAGGTGAAGATGTATCTGAAGATGTTAAAGTATAACATGTCACTTTTCTGTGTGACGTTTTGGGATAATACTAGCTTTTAGCTAGTCAGGAATTAATAATGTTGGCATTTCAGTGCCTTACAGAAGATACAGAATATCTGTATTTCCACAATATTACAAGTTTCCTAGTCCCTTTGCTGTGCCATTAACACCTTTTTGTAACCATCTATATGTTGCATACTTAGATTAAATGCGACTGTGAAGAATCAGACTAGACTTTCTAACTCAGTCTTTCAAAGTAGTAACATAACCTCAGCACCCTCAAGTTTCACTGAGATATTCACTTTTTATGCATTTGTTTCACATCTCTTGAATTTTATTTGTGGGAGCAATTCTTCTTTGTAACAGAAGACTGAAATATTGTGGTGGTTGGGATAGTTGTTTACCCTGTGACCAAAAGTCCTTCTCTGTCTAGAGTTTTTCAGCTGTAACAGTTTGTCACTAACTGTGCCATCAGAACTGCTGGAGTGGGAAAACAAAAAAAAATATCTATTCTTACCTTGTACACAAATGTACACACAAAATCTATGAAACCAACTTGGAGCTTAGGAAGTTCATCTCCTTTGTTTCTGTCCATCATTGGCTAGAATGGAATAGTTGTAATTTAGGTTACATAGTTATCAGGTTTTTTGTTTTAATGATCTAGTAAGCAACATGGCCTATTATCTAATGAGTGTTTTAATAGCAATTAATGTTGCTTAATACAGTTAAATTATTTAGTCCTTACAATTGGTTGTTGCTGTAGCACAGATCGTTCCAGGTCACCTTGCTCCCAGAATTCATTTGCAACCATTAGGGCAACCTGAAAAATCACAATTCAGTGGAAGTGTCAGCAGAAAGCAGGACATACAAATTAATAAATAAAAGAGACAAGCTTTTCAGAAAATGTGAAAATGTTGACTGAGAACTGGTGTATTTTTACTACTTAACTATTACTACCAGCTTCCCTTCCACAAAGAGAGAACCGATTTCTTGCTAGCTGCATTATCTCTGAGTAGTTTAAAAATTTTCCCAGAAAGAGGGAATTTTGCTCAAGCACAATATGATTCCACTGTTTAATTCCTGTAGAGATAAGTCAAGCATTTCTTTCAAGAATTACAGATACCCTCTGGTGTACTTAAGGCTTTTTCCAGCAGATTATCTCTGTTGGTATTATGGTGCATGCTGAGTATATGATAGATCATTGTCAACAGAAATGAGACAATATAACAGTCTTCTAGTACTTGTAATATGTATTAGTTAGAAGGCCTCACAAGCATCTTAGAGTTATATTTTCATTATGCATTATTAAAACCTATTCCTGTAAGGCTGAGTGATGAGCGTGATGGTCAGTGCTGGAGTACTTGAAGTACTTACGTACAAAGCAATGTCACACTGTATTACAGAATTTAATTTTAGCATGTTTAAGCTGCTTTGCAAAGGCACCAAGACCTACAGAATAGACACAATTCAAATTGTACTGTTGGTAAATCTGTACCTTAAAAATATCTGGAAAATAGCAAAAGTTGGATAGCACAAAAATAGCTGAGTGATATTTAAGGGTAGCTAGACAGCTGACAGAATCAAGGATGCCATTTTTAGCTGAAGGACAAGTACAGAAGAGTGGGACAACTGTAAAGTGGTTGGGGATAGGCATCATGGAATCCTTACACTCTCAGTGACAGAAAAATAGAGGTTGTTTTCTAGAAACACAGTTGAATACAGATATTAAATATCAGCTGATAATTTTTTTTTATGGTCATGCACCAAATAGGCAATAAAATAGATGGAAATGCAGTCCTGGTTATTCAAAAATTACCTACCTTACTTTGCACTTCCCAAGGCTTGGTTATTGCAGACAGATCGCATCCAGTCATCATCATAGCCCTTTGAAAACATAGAACAGGAGTGTAGTTAGGATGATAATAGAAAAAAAAGAAAGGTCTAGGGTTTTTTTTAAGGAATTTGCATACCTGAGATGCAGATGGATGCACATTTTGCACATTCTGAGATCTATTTCTAATTTAAAATCATTGCTATGCTCATCATTGGACAATAACACCAGGTTTTAATGTACATGTTTAAATGCCCAAATTTTTTTGAAATCAGGTCTAGATAACAAATTGAATGAAGAGTAAAATATTAACCACCTACATGATGACTTCTTTTTTGGTTGGGTCAATAGATATATATTTAATTGCCTCCTCTTCTTTTTCCATTTTTTCAATTGCATCCACGATCTTTTGAAACATAGTTCTTTTCCTATTAAAACATACCAATAAACCATATATTAGAGAACAAAAGTTTGTGCATTAAAAATGGAAGTAGAAAACCATATTCCTGATACTTATGCTTTTCCAAAGTAGCATCCTGATAATAGCAATATCAAAGTGACACATTCTTGCAATTGAACTCAAACTTTTCAGTTAGCCTAGCACATTTAGATTTTGCTATATACCACTGACATGTAAAGTATTATGTCAGAACTCATGATGAGGAAGCAAATTACTAATTTCCTAATTCTTCATATTAAACTATTTGAGTTGCCATTTGTATTTTTTTAGTGTTACATGTTTGTTACTTCGTGTAACGTAATGAAGTGGGAAAAGAGAAGCAAATATTAATGTTCTTCCACTCCCTCACCTCAAAAATCCAAAGAAGTGCTAAAACCTGACTGAGAATTCAAAAACGTGTCTTGCTATTGCTTAGTAGATCTTCTGACTTGCATTTAGAATTAATTAAATAATGGAATTACTCTTCATTAAAATTTAATAACTGTTGTTGAATAACTTACTGAATTGTTTCCTGTCTCCCGTGTTTAAATTGTCTCAGTCATAAGACTATTAGATCAAACCAAAATGCTCAAATACCTTTAAGGAAAATACCCATTATAAAAGTACTTTAAGTCAGTAATTTAGGAATAGGATGGATGATTTGATATTTGGTGGAGGTTTTGGCATCCTTAGCACTGGGATCGGTTGTCTGCAGTTTTGTTTTTAAACCAGCATATTAATTTTCATCGCATAAGCGTACTCCTCTTTAGTGTGAGTAATTGTACTATGGTATGATA